TGTGTGTGTGTGTGTGTGTGTGTGTGTGTGTGTGTGTGTGTGTGTGTTACACTGAGAGAAAGCGATTTTAAATATCTAAAAGTATATACAATATATATAAATAAAATGAATAATGCAATAGGATACTATCGTGTAAATTACGATATCAAAAATTGGAAAAAAATTTCAAATTACTTAAATTCTGAGGAATTCACGAACATACACGTTCTTAATCGTGCTCAAATTATCGATGATCTTTTTGAATTTGTGGATGGAAGAATAAGTGGATTCGACTTCCTTGATGTTATAAAATATCTACAGAGAGAAGTCGATTATGTGGCATGGTATCCATTACTGTTCCGAATTATACCAAAGTTAAATAATATTTTTTTCCTACCAGAGGCCATAAATATCAAGGTAAATAATAGGGTTCTCTCTCTCTCTCTCTCTCTCTTTCTCTCTCTTTCTTTACCTCTCTCTTATAAAAGTATATCTGTTATATTATAATCGACTTTTTAATTTGTATCGTTCTACATTAATATATTCTTTCCAATGTTAATCGAAATATTACGTTGTAAATATGATATCGTAGATATTATATATTTTATATAAAATTTTTTTATTAGTATAAATGTAAATTAATAATACGCTCTGTAACATTTATAGTACGTAACTTTATATCTTAACTTTTTAATAAAAATAAAGAATACAATTGGTACAATAAAAATTATTTTGTGAACGCATAATGATCGTTATAATTAATACATATTCACTGCAACGATTAATGCATTTTACATATCTTATTGTTTACATATTACATCATAGTGAAATTTAAATCATAATGAACTCACAATAAAAGCACACAATGGTATAAAATATTAATTAACATATTTAAATTATGAAATTTAAATCATAGTGAAATCACTATAATAGCATACAACGATATAAAATTTCACGTAATATGTTAAATTATATTACATATATAATACGTAATACGTAATATATTTTTCCGAAAAGCCATTTTTCAAAAACAATTTTTAAAAAAAAAAAGCTATCTCATTCAAACACATGATCACAAATTTCTGTTCTAAATTTATGAAAAAAATTATCCTTTAAGAGCTTTTAAAGAACTTAGTATATGGAGTATCCTATTTAACTAAATATTTCTAAAATATTCATAAGGTGTTCCCATCCGACATTTCAAAGTAACATTACGAGAATTTTCCACAAAAATATTATAGAATGTAACAGCAACATTCAAATAATATTTAAATGTTCCATTTATATATATATATATATATATATATATATATATATAT